GACACCAGCCATCCACAGTCCTCCACGTCAGCGTAACCAACTGCCCATTGGCGGTATAAATAGAAGCATTTATTTCATTGTAAAAGGTTGGTAACTTTCTATTCTTAGCACTCTAGCTATAGCATTCTTACTCGCAGCACTTCTACTGCCTTGTAAGACGAACGGCCGACGAGCCTTAGTGAAAGTATTATATTAGGGAGTTATTAACGGATAATAATATCTAATCGCTTACTTGCTACTTGTTGTTTTCTTGATCCGTCTCACTTGTTAGTTGGGCTAGTTTACTCACACACACTCCATTCGAAATCCTTGGGCTTACGTGTTGGACCCGATGGTTGAAGGAATAAACCTCAACACTACTTTTTATCTCCACTTTCATACTTTTCCATCATTTCTCCTATTTTTTCTACAGTATTCATTATCCCTACTATTTCATTCTTAAGAAATGTGCCAACATCTATAGTAGCAAACAAAAAATTAAAATACGGGAGGGAGCATTAAATGTTCATTTATGATCAATATTTTGAAAAACTATATTAAATGTTATAAGTGTTTATAATCATTCCAATTCCAATGGAACTAATATTACATACGGAGTATAAATTTTTTGAAAAAAATCGGGTAAAAATATATTTAGAAAAAAGATGGATATTTATTTAAGTTTTTTACGAGTACCGTATTAGTACTACTGAAAAGATTATAAAAATTATAAAACTTGATATTTTTTAAAAAAAAATGAATTATAAATGAACATTTTAAAAATTATGACCATTCTTGGTGTACACAAGATGTGTACGTTGTCTGTGTACACACATGAGCGGACCGTAGTACAGACCCAGGGGGGCTGCTGCCCCCCCCCCCCCCCCAACCATTTTTTTAAAGTATATGTATACGAAATTTTTATTTTTACCCCCCCCCCCCCAACATTTAATTTTCGCCCCTCCAAGAAAAATTTTGAACCCCCCAAAAAATATTTTGGCCCCCAAAACATAGCCCACTCGCAGAAAAAAAAAATAGAAATTATACAAGTAATATTATATCAGCCCACTGGAAAATTTATTCCCAACCCACCCCAAAATCTAATCCCAACCCACAACCCAAACTAATGAAAAACCTGCGCACCTAGAAGAAAGAAACGGCAAGATTGCAAGAACGAAACAAGCATCGACGAAGCTTCCGCCATCGTCCTTCAATTCCGACGAAGAACTAAAGAAGGCAAGAACGGAGAACGCCCAACCACCTGCCACACCTTATTCCGCCGTCCACTTCGTGCTTCCACCGTCCACTAGCTAGTTTGAACAGATAATGGATCTTCTTACTCTTAGCAGTGCTTTGGATCCTAAGGACTCATATAAGTACTTTAACATTGATGATATATGTTCTTTAGTGGATAAATATTACCCCTTTCATTTTATTGAACAGGAGAAAATGAGCTTGAAGTTTCAATTGCAACATTATAAGCTCAATGTTCTAAACCATCTAAAGTTGGCGAATTTGTCTACAATGAGTGAACTTTGTCAAGGATTAGCGGAGACGGAGATGTCAAAAGTGTACTTTCTTGTTGATAGATTGATCCGACTTCTGTTGACTCTACCGGTTTCGACAGCAACAACAGAAATGGCTTTTTCAGCAATGAAAATTATAAAAACAAGGGTTCGCAATAAAATGGAGGATGGATATCTTGCAGGCAACCTTGTTGTTTATATTGAAATAAAAATTGCTAAAACTTTTGACTTCAAAGCCATGATTGAAGAATTTATCTCGTTGAAGGGAGCGTCGAGCACAATTATAAGATACTAACTTTAACTATTTTGTAATAATATATTTGTCTCTTCTTCTATTTTAATGCTTCGTTTAATTACTATTATATTAAGCTTATAACTTCTAATAATAATAAGCGGCTAGATTATTTTGTTTAAATTATCGCCCCTAATATCAATTTCATGGGTCCGTTCCTCTGGACAATTGACGTCAAAGGGTGCCCTTTTTAAACGTGATACGGAGGATGAGATGCCATGCAGATGAGAGATGAGTCGTCCCTGTGTGACTGAGAAAGATTAAAGTTGGTCCAACGTGTTATCTAGTTGGCATTAGACTAGCTGTCACATACGGATCATCATTTATAACACGCCATATTTGAACGCAGTTTCCTTATGTTTTTAATACGGAGTAAATAATTACTCGCTCAACTTTGCGACCACCGCATAAAATTATAAGAGATCTTCCTTCAAATATTTTAGTAAAGTTACTATTGAATATTGATATATTGTTACGGAGTTACATTTTTATTGTGTTTGATATTTAGCGGTTAGTGATTAGTGGATAACGGATATGTTAGTGGATTGTCAATTGCGTATTCAGTTAGCAGGATTAACTAGCGAAATAAGTTGACGGATTGTATGTTTGGTAATTTATCTCTTTGGCATAAAATTAGTAAAAAATGCCATATTTCAAAATGCTAACTCAAAGTCTCCTATTTGCAACGTTTTCATTTCAGTTTTTTCGTTCAATCATCATTTTTCGGCTGAAGCGTCATTTACCAAACATCTCCTTTATATACAAAGTCACAATTATTGTTTTCACCAACTTTAACATCTCCTTTATTTTCACCAAATAATTAAGTACATACTTTTTGATTAAAATTTACGTAAATGAGATAGAGCTTAAAAATATGATAGAGCTTTCTAGCTAGACAGACAAAGGGTATGTTTGGCATTCAGCGGTTAGCGGTTAGCGGTTCGCGGATAATGGGTTATGTTAGCGGGTTATCAGTAGCAGATTCAGTTGGCGGGTTTGACTAGCGGAATAATTGGCGGATTGTTAAAAAATGTTTGGTAATTTATTTGTTTGGCCATAAAATTAGTAGAAAACGTCATTTTTTAAAATGCCAACACAAAATTCTAAAATTAGGAGCGTTTTCATTTCAGCATTTTCGTTCAAAACGTTAATATCAAACCGCTATGAATCCAATCATCGGTCATTTTTAACTGTCGACGAATTGTTCAAGATATTGCATCTAAAAGCCACATGTGTATATAATCTCACTACTATGCGTTTTATTATAAACATAACCTCCTCCGTCTAAGAGCCCGTTTGGTAGCACCAAAATCGGCTGTTTTGGCTGATTCTGCTGAAATTTATGATATTCTGGCTGGAGTGGCTGTTGTGGCAGATTCTGCTGATTTAAGAAAAAAATATTTTAAAAATATATTTTATTAATAAATTAAAGAAAAAATTATATGTAAAAATAGCTAAAATGGTCCTCTACAGTAACTTCAGCCAATACAGCCAGAAAAATAACTCCAACCTTACTTTTTCGGCTTATTACACAATTCAGCGCGCGAAAGTAAAAGTTACGTGTTTGGTGAAAAAGCTGGCTGATAAGCCTGATAAGCCGAAAACAGAGTTCTCCAAACGGGCTCTAAGACTGCCTGCAACCCAGGAGTGAATAACCCAATTTTAAGCTTTTCACCCTAAAAGTTTCTACAACCCATGTATTTTGGGGTGCCAAAATGGGTGTATGGCACCCACGGGGTGGGATATCTGTAGGCTTATTCACGGAGCCTTTGTCTATGTGGCTGTACGAATGGAAGAGAAGAAATAAGAGCTTCTGGTTGATCACATGAAACATACGTAGTGGGTCTACATAAAATTTAAATATCAGTTTTTTAAAAAGTGTAATAAGTCTTTTATTTATATTTTATATTTTTATAAATAATACATCAAAATTCATAAATTTTAATTATCTTTCAAATGACACCAATATTGTATATATGCAAATATATTTTTTTTCATCTTTTACCTATTTTTTCTAAAATAAGTCTGAAATAACATTTAAAAAATTAAATACCAAATTTATGTATTTTTACATCTGGAATGTTTGACTTTTTAAATAATGATTATTCGTAAAAAAAATTGAAAAACATTAATTAATAATAATAAAAGTAATATTTTAATTTGAATACTTTGTTGGATGAATATATTGACGGAACTGGATTGCAGTGAAAACTGAATTGATTGAGTGAATACGTATAAAAAGGTGTGGAATTTGATTTATTGACGGAACTGGATTGCGGTTAGCCTAAAAATAAAAGTAACAACAAAACCACACGAACAAATCGTCTATTCTTTTGTCTGCACGTCTTCAATAGAATAGACGATTTTGGTTCATGTGGCTTCTAGATACGGAGTTAAAGACAAATTTTATTATACTTTTAAGGTATTGTACCTCCGTCTAATAATATGAATATAATAATAAAATGAAATAATAATTTAGATCAATCAAATGCATGACACACACCGTGCTATCATTTTTTATTAAGATTGTAGCAATCGCCCTAATTAAGGATATTTTTAATTGGGTTCATTTCAGTCCAATAATACGGGATCATATCAGACTAGGTTTTTTTTATCTACTACTTGAGATAGCAAAATAAATATTAGAATGTTTGGATAAAGAGTGTAGTACTTATGAGTGTTCTATATATATATATATATTTCTACCAGAAACAGTTTTTTAGAAGTTTGGGGGACACCAAAACCGATTAAAAACATTTTAAAAGTATGGTTCAAATAAAGGATGTTTTACTTGGACTGCAATTTGCAGGTTTGGTCTGGTCTTATCTGGTTAAGTCTGATCTGATCTCTTTAAGTCTAGTTTGAACTGGTTTGATTTGGTAAATGTATGGTCTTTGTGTATATTTATAACTACGGAAGTCAAGTTTGGTCTGATCTAGTCTGGTTTTGACAGAAAAGAGTTCGAGTAAAAAATCCTAAAAAGAACTCAAAAGTCGTGCACTTCCAAAAAAAAATCAACTATGCGACTTTTTTAAAAGAGAGCAATCCCGGAAAAAGTCCCAAGGAAACGCCAGCACAAAAACCGTTCTGGCGAACAGCTCGCCAGTAGGCGCAGCCAAATGTAATTCTTCATTTGCAGGAATTGGAAATTCCAACAAAGCAGGAAATCATTCCCAGAACAGAAAAGCTGCAAAAATATATACCTGTAAACAATGAGGACAGGGAGAGGCCTATTTCTGAGGATCATTTCAAGGTCCTGTTTGGGGTTGAAATGCTGGATACAGTCAAGCCTGATCTCCACCAAATCAGCTCCCTGTGATTTCGCCTTGTGCATTCCGGCGATCAGCTCCGCCACGGACGGAGCCGCCAATGGAGCGCAGACCATGGTGGTGTTCCTCAACAGCCCAACACTTCCCATCTCCGGCCGGAGGAGACAAAGAATAATCAAGAAAAAAATGAAAGAATGGGGGGAAATATTGGGTTAGAAGGAAAATGGGAATTGTGGATGGGGTTTGGTGAGTCCTATTTATACTGTCATAGCAGTGCTAACTGCTAAGTTATCGCACTTGGTGACGGGTTACATTCAGGGACGGATTTACTATGGCCTTAATGAAAGCTAGCCGGCTAGGCCTCTCTTTTTGTCCGTCAATTTGAAAAGGTTTGAGTCCCAACCCAATAGTGAGGAAGTTACATCGACTCAATCAGCTCAGTAGTGATAGATCTTGTAATCGTGTACACTAGAGGTTCAGTTCATCACTAAGAAGCTGTAATCTCTATATGATAGTAGGGGTTTCGATTCTTAGTTAATGTTCCAACTTTCTCACTACTCAATCAATAAAGCTACGGGTATGAGTTTACCAACTTTAATCTTGACTATGACGAACAGATTTTTGGCCCTAAAAAATTTACCCAAACCCTTAAGAGAAGTAATTTTGAGTCGCTCGAATGATTCGCTTGATTCTCAACGCTTATCTATATAGTACGAAGTATATACTACCACGCACGTGAACCCCTAAAAATTAATGACTTCGCATATTCTTAGGTTTTCTGCGCAGCTCACGGGATAACCGTCACTAATTGATCGAACACCATCAAGTTGCGAGTAAGAGGTTAATTCTCACACTGTCGTAAAAAGCGTGACAAAACACTAATTGCGTGACCTCTTAAGCTAACCCGGAAGCTAGAGGATCATCACTTTGAAAAATCCTCACCAATTTACCTTTTTGTCAAGTTGAACTTAAAACCTCACACACGGGGAGGATTTAAATGTGGGATGTTGTCCGCATAAATCACTTCAAGTTGTTTCTGTAACATCTTCAACTTAGGCTAGTGCTCAAGGAGTATGTTGGATTTGACCTTGATTACATTATCATTTTTTGGCATACACAACAAATTATTGATTTTGAGGAAAAAAATTAATCGATCACAATGAAAATATAGTTGGTGCCGTTGAAAAGCACACAATATATATTAAGTTTGTTGAAAGTGTGATTGAAATGTCCGATTATGGTTAAATACACAAAATACATCCAAATAATATTAATAACAAAATAAAGAAAAAAATTATATGAAAAATCTATAACTCTTTTGACAAATTTAGCACTCAAAATCACAAAATAGTGTTACTAAAATGATACACAATTTTGGTACCTCACGATTCTCTTGTCTAAGAGTACAAGAAACTCCTCAAATAAACTATTCAGTATTAACTAAAAGTTGAAAGTGTTTACAATCTATACCCAATGGCCCCCACCAACTATTTCCCTTAGAACAATGCAAGTTAAATTTAAGGTTGTGCGCAATTCACATCCAGTAAACTATCAAAATCCGCATCATAGTATGATCGATGTTCCAGAAATTTAGGTATGGTTTGACTTAATGGTTAATTAAAATGGTTTGGTATCACAATCTCTAGGTTTGATTGTTTACCAATATCATATTGGTATGTTATCATACCAATACTAATAAATTAGTTGGAAAATTTTCACTGTGAGCATATATATTATTGGTCATCAAGAACAAATGCTGATAACCAATTCAATACAATGTACTCGTATAAAATAACATCTTTTTAGTAGTGTCAGTGACTCCGGCCAAAGTGACTCCGACCAAAGTGACTCCGGCCAAAGTGACTCCGCCGGTCACGGTGACTCCCGCCTACTGACCATAGTGACCACCGCTCAGTGACTCTGGTTACGTTGACTGCCTGCTCACCGCCAGTGTCTGCCACCGTCGGGCAGTTACTGCCGCCGCCATTGAAAGTGACTCCGCAGCCAGTGACTGCCGCCACCCCCAGCCAGTCACTGCCCCCGCCCAGTCACTGCTGCCCCCTCCCCAGGCAAATCATTGTCGATGTCCACCCCTTCCACTGAATCACCTCAAACCATCCACCCCGGCCAGCAAGGCGCGGCCACCGCACCCCAACACAAGCCCCATCCCATGTCCACCATTGGCAACCACCACCTCCAGCGTCCACCAACTTTGGCCAGCGCCGGCAACCACCACAGTGTACTCGTATATTTTTAATTAAATTCTTTAAATGACTTTCTCTTTATTTAGACTAATATCCTAATGTACAAAATTGGAGTAAAGTAAAAACCATGTTAACTCACATTTGTATTATAAACATCATCATCTTAGAATTAACAATATAATAATGGGATAAGGGTCAGTTTGGTCCTTGAAGTTGCAAAAAAGGATTCAAATAAGTTCTTATATAAAAGATTCTGTCCGGACGTGCCATTTGAGTTGGCTCCCGGTGGAATTTTTTGATGAAATTTTTTGAGCATCTTATTCATTAAGTCTAGTTTACTCATACCAAATTTCAGATAAAAATTCAATGGGGAAGACATTCAAATGAATTCTTGAAGATAACTGTGCCGTTAAAAGCGATGTTATCTTCAAGAATTCATTTGAATGTCTTCCCGATTGAATTTTTAGCTGAAATTTGGTATGAGTAAACTAGACTTAATGAATAAGATGCTCAAAAAAAATTATCACAAAGTTCCACCGGGAGCCACCTCAAATGGCATGTCCGGGCAGAATCTTCTATTTAAGGGCTTATTTGACGCCTTTTTTGCAACTTCGAGGACCAAACTGACCCTTTACTCATATAATAATGCATATAGCTCTTAGTATGCACGTACTGCATATATGACATAGTCTTACCATTAGCATACGAACGTTCTCACCTGTAGTTGATATCTAAACAAAATGGGATGAGATCGAATAAGAGATTTATTTGGATGTTCAAAGTATAAAAATATCAAATACGGAATATATTTATTTAAATCACTCCAGTTCAATATTATTTAATCCTCAATGTTTGGGTTCGATGATGTATTTGTTTCAAACTATAAAATTTCGATTTGAGTTAAAAATGTATGGGACCTTACAAAAAATCAGGGCAGAGTCAGAACATTAGATCAGACTGGACTGGTACATTTAATATTTTCAGAAAAAAATTACACGGATATTTTTACTTTGAAAGTTAAGGCATTTTTTAACATTTGGGGAAATTTTTACCTTGAAAGTTAAGGCGTTTTTAACATTTGGGGTGGATCAAGACCTAGATTGCCCCCTCTAGTTCCGCCCCGCAAATACAGCGTTATTCAAATCGGTTCTATTATGGTTTGATAGGTACAATCAGGGGCGGATCCAGGGGGTCAGGGTGGTCAGCCGACCCCGCTGAAAGTTTGAGAATGTAGAGCTTTGAAATACCTTCGATTTGATATATTATGGGTCTCGTAACTCATTACGAGTAAAAAGTTATGACTTCTGGAAAAATCAATCTAAACTTGAAATGAGCAAACATTTGATGTGTTATATTTTTTTTTTAATTTAAAAATAAAACATCTTATTCACTCATTGTTTCTGTGAACCATATATTACATTGCATATATACTCCCCCCGTCCCCTTTTAAATGTCCCATTTTACCTTATTCGGATGTCCCTATTTAATTGTCTCATACCTTATTTGGTAAAGTTTGTGTGACTCAAAATCATTCCTACTTTATTCTTACTTTATTCTTACTTTATCAATTAATATCAACCATACAAACACATTTTTCTTAAAACTCGTGTCACCCTCTTCTGTGACATTTAAAAGGGGACGGATGGAGTATATATCAATACAATAACCGAATATGTCTCATTAAACTAACATTTATCTAAGCTACATATGAAACATTTAATTTAAGTATTGTTTTATAATGATCCACCTTTTTTATAGTATATATAATCAAATTTCGACCTCCTCACACATTTTTCTGGCTCCACCCCTGGGTACAATACCGGTTCAGTTTAGGATTTATGCCACCTATTGGTAAATCGTAATATATTACTCATTAACTTTGTAATTGTGTTTGCATGTTTATGATCATAATTCGCACCAGCACCAATTCCCTCCGCCACAAAATTTAGTTAGGATGTTTTTACTTGGACTGTAATTTGCTGGTCTGGTCTGGTCTGATCTGATCTGATCTGGTCTGAACTGGTCTGGTCTGGTCTGGTAAGGTCTGGTTTCTTTGTATTTTTATAACTATCCAAGTCTGGTCTCGTCTGGTCTGAACTGGTCTGTACTGGTCTGGACTGGTCTGGTCTGGGGCAAATTACAGTCCAAGTAAAAACATCCTTAATGTTGATTTGGAATAATAAAGTGAACAATATGTGATTAAGTTTTTTTTTTCATTTTTCGCTCAGGCTGCCTGTTCTGAGTTTGGTTGCCGGTTTTGGTTATCTATTCCTCCTTATTTTATTATTCATGTAATAAACAATGATTTAATTAATGATAATTAAAGTATTTCCTTTCAAAAAAAAGTTTTTTTTCATTTAAACTACTCCGTATATTGCTAGTTTTCACTTTGAGAGGGTATTTAAGGTGAGTTGAGGAAGCGGTCCAGCCCAGCTGGTCGCTGACTCACTCTTCCTTACAGGAGGTCTCGGGTTCGAAATTCAATAGGGTGAGTTTCAGTTCCAATTACTCTAGGCCCCCCAAACCCCCTCCCTCAGACGCCCCCTGGAGTAAAAAAAAAAAGAGTATTTAAGGTGAGCTAATGTGTATCATACTCCGTATATGGAAGAGATATTTTGGCGGGAATATTGTTCACCAAAACTTTTACTTTTATATACGGAGTATTACGTAGTAAAGTAATCATAACAGATACTCCCTCCGTCCCGCTATGATGGTCCTATTTTACCTTTTTGGTCCGTCCCACTAAGATTGTCTCATACCTTATTTGGTAAAGTTTGTGTGGTTCTAAATGATTCTTACTTTATCAATTCAATATCAACCACATAAACCCACTTTTATTAATAACAGTGTCACTGTAACACTATTAATATAAATGGATTAATAGTACTACTCATACAAACAAGATGCATCTCCTTTTAAGGGAACTCATCCGCTAAGAACTCCAATGTTAAGCGTGCTTGCACGGGAGTAGTCTTGGGATGGGTGACCCTCTGAGAAGTTTCTCAGGGCGCGCATGAGTGAGGACA